TACAAATGAGTTTATAAACTTACAATTGAGTTAATTTACAACTTAAGCAAAAAGCTATTCTATTTATACAAAATTAATTTGCTACAGCTAACTATTTGTTATGCTATAAATTAACTAAATATAGATACATACTTTAATAAAAATATACTTAAATATAATAAATAATATAAATAATATAAATTATAAAAATAATAAAAACAAATGAAATAAGTTATAAACGTTAAAGAAATTACAGGTGAAATAAAATAAACAAGCTGTACAGAAAATACAGAAGAAATAGACGAATAAGGTGAATTTTGTAAATTCTTCAAATTAAATAAATTAGCCTGATTTTCTAATGCAATACATCGATCAAGATCTTTCTTAATATGATCTACATAAAATTAAATCTAATGACTTTGTAAATCATTTTTCTAGAGTAAATTTTCAATGCTAACAATATATAATGTAGCAGTTTTGGATCATATGCATTTATAAGAAATTGGTTTATTTTCATATATACTTGATTATATAAGAAAAATGCTCATATATCAATGTGTAAATAAGATTATTAGAATAATGAATAATTGGCTAACTACTATTATATATTTTAATAATTTAAGAATATTAAAAAAGAATATCAATAAGAAAAGGAAATTTATAGGTAGTAAAATACGAGATATAATGAAAATCATTATATTTGTGCTTGATAAATTATATATAGCAGATGATAACTATTAAACAGATAGTGATTTATATACTATTATCTTATGTAAAAAAATTATTCAATGCTATATTAAATTTATTAAAATATATATTACATCAAGAAAAAAGAAATTTAATAAAAATAATTTAGAAGTTTTTGAAGTTAGTATATTTAATTAATACCTTTATTATAATTATTTATATTAATCTATTTTTTATTATAGCGTAAAATAATTGATTGATTAACTGATTTTATAAATATATTTGTATAATTCTTTCTTAATAAACTTTAGTTGCCAAAGCTTCATATGTGAAGATATCACATCATTTATACTATTAAATGTTATAGAACTCTTAATAGACTAACTACTGAAACTTATGAAACTTTACATAAAAATTGGATTAAAAATTCATATAGAATATTCAATAAAAAAAATGTGCTTAATTAGTTACTTAAAACAGTAAGTTATAAATACAAAATTCAATTATATATTATAAAAAAAAATCTTTAACTGAATTTTTAATATTAGATATAATGACAAATACTTATAAAAAAAACTATAAATTTAAAATCAAATTTTATGAAATCATTATTTTGAAAATTTTTAATTGGAGAATTATATATACTTTAGAAAAAACTTGAATAAGATGAAAATATAAATAATTTGTATATTGAAGAAATAAAATAACTAATTACTTATTTAGAATAACTAATTACTTATTTAGATATATATTTAGATAATATTTCTAATATATCAACTAGTAAAAAAATTTATTTAAAGATATTCTAACAGAATATTAGAAAATGGGAAAATTATTTATACTACTAGTAAATTTTATGGGTATACAATATTTAGCAATATTATAATTATAATAGAAAATATAGATTATTTAACAGATCAAGAATTATACTATGGTAAGATAAATATTTATAATTATTATAATTTAATTTAGTTTTAATTTTTATAATTAATAATAAAATAATTTGCAGATATTAATTAACATTAATTGAAGTTTTATTCTTATATAATCATTTAACTTTAATTTCTTGCTTTTATACATTAGTATGATATTATTCTAAATAATATCCTATAATATATAAATATCCTTATATGAAATAAGTAAATCATTATAATTTAATATTTTTTGATTTTATCACAGATTTTGTGTATATGGTAAAATATTTTGATTATGAAAATGAATTTTTGTAAATAAATTTTTTTAATTTTTTATATATAATATTTTAATAATAATTTAGTATTTAATATATTTTTCATTATATTAATTGAAATAAATAAACAGATTAATTTGAATAACTAATATTAAATTATAAAATATTAATTTTTAAAAGACAAATTTTTTTTAAAAAAATCCTTAAGAATTTTTCTTTTAAAATCTTTAAGGAATCTAATAATTCATGAAATTCTAAAGGTTTCTTAAAATTATTATAGGATTTTTAAGGATTCTATAAAATTACAGATATAAGGATTTTATAGTAATTTATGAAATCTTTTTGAATCTTAAACTTCAAAAACTTACTTATATTTTAATTGCAATTAATTCACTTTTGAAAGCAGATAAATTTTCTTGTGAAGAGATAGAACGATTCAGCTTAATTCTATAAATATATGAGATTTAGTTATTACAAGAAGTGAAAATTTTCTAGAAAAAATGCTGAGACCTTCTTCTAAAAATGTTGTACTGTCAAGTGAAATACTTGACTGAATGGTAAAGTATTATAAAGTAACCTATGAAATGTATAATTTTTAGAAACTATTTGAAGAAGGGATTAAAGATTCAAATGTTATTAGTGTTAAGATAAGCAAATTCAGAAGATATTAAATTAGTTTAGAAATATTTAACTCCTTAATGTTATCTTATCATATAAAAAGTTCTTTTATTTAGTCAAATTCATAACCACTGATAGCAATGTTTATAGTTATCTTGATTAAATATAATATTTTTTTAAATATGCAATTAGTTTGTAAAATCATTTTGTTAAATATTTTTTAGCATATGTTCTGTATTATCAACCTACATCTATTACAAACATCTGATATTATTTTAGCAGCAATGATGAAATTTGCAATGTTGAATTATGGAAACCTAAATTTTATCTTAAAAGATATGACTGTATTATTTTAATACATTATATTTTAGGATAGTTTATTCTAGTAAAATATAAAATTTTGACATGTCAAAATGTAATAAAATATTTAACCATTGATTCAATTAATAAAAAATACTATATTAGATGAATTTTGTATAAAATTAAACATTAGTTTATTTTTACATTATTTACTATTTATATAAAATTAGTTTGACATTATTTTATATTTTTTATAATTCTGATTTTTATTATATTTTTAAAGTATTAAAAATCAGACACAAATTGGTTATAAATTAGACATATCAAATTTTAGTCAATTTTGGTTAATTCATAAAAATTTTTGAAATTAAGCTAAAATCTATTGCCAATCAGTCAAAATTGATCTGATTTATCATATTTTTGAAATATCTCATTTTAACTAATGGTAATTTAAATTAATAAAATATAGCTTATTTAATTTATCTTAAACAGATTGATATTAATAGAAATATTAAATATTAAATTATTTAATTAAAAAATTCAGATCAGATCAAATCAGTCATTTTATCTAACCTAACCTGAATTTTTAAAGTTAACTTATTAAATCATCTGATTTGTTAAATCAAATTTAGAATTCTAGATAATTTATTTGATCTGACCTATTATATTTTTTTTAGATTAGATTAAAAGCTATCTGATATAAATAAATGCTTAACCTGATTTGATTTGTAAATTAAATTTTTCAAGTCAGGTCAGATATTTGACCCAACTTTTTTCAAGTTAGATATCTGATTTAATTTGATTTAAAAGTCAAATAAATATAAAGTTTATTTTTTTTTTTATATTAATTTATTTATTAAATCAATGATTTTATAATTATTATTAATTTAATATTATTAAATTAAATAAATTTTTAAGTATTAAAAAATAAAATTCTAATTTTAAAATTAATAAAACTTAATAAAAATTAAGCTTTCAAAAATATTTATCTAATTTTAAAGTATATACATATTCAAATTAATTATAATCTTAAACTTAAATGTCTTTTTATTATTAGATCAACTTTATCAAAAAAATTTTTTTAACAGATATACTAGTTTTTAAAATTAAAAGTTATATATTTTAAATTAATATAAGATTAAAAATTGTAATATAATTTTTAAAATATTAAAATATTAATAAAAAAAATCTTTTAATGTTTTTATCATTTTCTATTATTATATCATATCTATTTTTAAATATTTTTTTTCTTCTTTTCTTTAGTTTCAATAATTATTTCTTCATTCTTTCATATTTTTTATATTTATATAATAATTATTGCATTTTTTATATAATTTATTCATATTTTTTTTTATTTTTTTATTAATTTTTTATTTTAGTAATATAAATTATATAAGTATTTCATAATCTCACTTTGTTAATTTCTTTTATTTGAATTTTTATATAATCTTCATACATATTCATAAGTTAGCTTTTTTTCTTCTTTTTCTTAAAATTTTTTTATTATTTCCTTTCTTTTGTAATTTCAATAATTTATTATTCTATATTTTGTAATTTTTTGTATTCAGTATGTTTATAAAATATATCATATGATTTATATTTATCTTATGTTATGTAATTTACTATTTGTAATATATAATTTTAATTAATTGTTTATATATTATATATTATTTTAAAATTTCTTGATTCTATAATGTAGAAAAATAAAAGAATATAAAAGGTATAGTAAAATAAAAAAGTAGTTGAAAAATGAAAAATGCAGGATGTGTAATATGAAATTTTAAATATAATTTTATTAGTCCTTTTGTATAACATTTGGGTTATCTTATGAGAACTTCTTATATTAAATAGATATTAACTAATATTTATCACACCTCTTATATAAAATTTATTACTAATCCTTAAAATAATTAAATAATTCTAAATTATTATTCATTAATATTATTCTGATATATATATGATATAAAGGATTTTAGATATTGAAATAAAATAATAAAATTTTCCCTTCAAGTATTCTGTAAACGTTACTACTTATAATACCGTAATGCTGGTCAAAAATCAAGTCAATAACTGTTTTAAGTATTTATGTACAAATAAGAAATTACCTAATAATTTTGCCCTGAATTGCATATTGATATGACCAATAGGAACAAAGAGGAGGAAAGTGTTTAATTCGACTTTGTTAATAATTGTTGATCTCTTCGTAGACCTTAGATAAATCATAACCATGGAAACAATGGAAGATAGAAAAAGAACTTATTCTGAACAAAGTTCGTCTTCATCGGACAAAAGTCCTCCTCCTAAGAGACAACTTTTATCATCACAACAATCAAGGCCAGGTCAAGGTGTAAATGGTCAAGCCACCTCCTCCTCAAGTAGCTCAAATAGTTACCAGGATTTTGCCAATCTGGATATTTCTGATCCAAAATGGCTCGAGGTTTAGTTTCAAGAAACTTAAAAGCGTTTTATTCAGAATAAAAACAGGTTTAGTAATGACATTTTATCATATATAACATTAGTGTTATCAAAAGGAAGCTATTATTCGTGCTTTGCGAGAGTATAAACGGGAAAGTGAGCGGATAAATAAATGGAACGAACAACTTAAAGAAAAGCAGATTAATTATGAAGACCATTTAAGTGTTATCAATAGGTGTTGGAACAAGGTATTTAATTTTCCATTTCATAGTTTAATGTATTATATGCGTATTCATTTTTTTTTTTTTTTTTTTTAAAAAAAAATACATTTGTTTTAGCTTTTAAACGATTTACGAATGATTATATCCAGAGTTGATGAAGATGGAAATTTATCGAGCTTGATTCCTTCAGACGGTAATTAATATAATAATTGTTATGTAATTTATGAATTTGTTTATAATTAATAGTTTTTAAATTCTTTTCTTTTTTTTTTTTTAAAAAAAAAAACAAAATAAACATATTAAAACTTTTATCTTTTGTTAATTTTTTCTAAATTTATCATGCAATGAAATCTTATTTATAAATCTTTTGATTATGTTTATGTTTAAGTGCAACTTAAAGAATCAAAATTCCTTGCTCAAATATCTCAATTTGAGCAAGATGATGGAATTATCGAAATTATTGAGGAATCATTGACAGAAAAATTTGGAATTACTAAAAAAGTTATTACCGTATTACTAGAGAAGATTATTGCGTGGATAGAACAAAGAAATAAATTAATAAAATTCTTACAAAGTGAAAAAGATCCAATGTTGAAGGAGAATAAAGTAATTCAGAGCCTTAAGAATGAAAATGAAAGTCTGAATCTTCTTAATAAGCGTAATCAGAAGGATCTCGATGAATTACATGTACAGCATCACACGGTATCATTCGAGGTACACATGCTGGCTGTTTAAATTTTTTTAATATCTACATTGTTTTAAAACTTTTTTTTATTCAGTCATAATTTTATTAAAATAAAAAAAAATAGATGAGCACTATTAAGTACGAACTCGAAAAAACAAAAAATCGACTTGAGGAAGTTGAAGGACGTCTTGAGATTACTAAGGATGAGCTTGCACAGGCAGAAAAGCGTTTTGATAGATCTAAAAGTGTGACTCTTGGACTCTGGACACATCCTGGAAGTAATATCTTCGGATCGTCATCCGCTTATGAAAATGATAAGGTTAGCTTTTTTATTTTCAAATAATTGATAAAAAATTATTATTATATTGATTTCAATAATTTTACTATTTTTATTCTTATAGTCTAATCATAGTAACCGTCAAACAGAAGAAAATTTAAAACAATTTAAATTTTTGGCCGAATCACGATTGAAAGAATTGGAAGATTTATCTAACGAACGATCTAAATTAAGGGAAGAAATTCATCATCTCCGAGAACAAGTATTTATTTTTATGTATTATATAGATTGTTTATTATATTATTTTTTGTGTTAATGAACTTTTTTATATAAAATATATTAAGATTAAAAACCTTCCTGAAGACCGTATAATAGATTCGCAAGTTTATCGAAGTTTACAAGTTCAATATTTTCATTGTAAAGATACTTATGATTATATGCGTACGGTTATGGAACAGAATAGTCGTGAAATGGAAAAAATGACAGCAACACGAAACTCAGCCACAAATCAAATACAAGTGAGATTTCTATTTATTTTATTTTATATTTTTATGAGATTACCTTAGTAATAAAACATAAGCTGGCCGTATTCATAAATTTCATTGGGTTGTTCTCGAGCTCATAAAGGGTTGTGTTTATAAATACCGAGCGCTCATGTTTAATTTGTGGTCGAGAGAGTTTTGAGCCAACCCAATTTGTGTATACTACTACTTTTATTCATTAAGTTATTTATTTATAAAGATTCATTTTAATTTATTTACTTTAATTAGGAAGAAACAAAACAAACTATAAAAGAAACTGAAGATCAATTGAATAAACTTCTTTTTGATCTAGATCGAATTCGTGCTCAAAGAGATGATGTTTCAATGGAAGTGGATAAATTGAGAGCAATGTTACCGCAAGAATTTCGTCAAATATCTGCCCTAAGGGTACTCGCTAATGATAGAAAAACAATAATACGTCAGTTAATGACAGAGATTCAGAGGCTTAATATGAAGATAGCTGCTAATGAAGGTAATAAGCAAGCAATCGATTTTTATTGTACACCTGCAGAACCACCGGATGTTACTTATGAGGAAATTCAACAAGGAAAAAATTCATTTGAGTTAATAAAAAGACAATTATCATATGACCATCATCTACAAGAAGAACTAAAGTAAATTTTCAAATATATTATTTGGATTAATATTGTGTAATTTATAATAATGAATTGACTTTTGAAAATAAATCTTTGTAGTAAATCAGAGAAAATAAGAATCGAACTTCAAAGAGAAATTGATGAGTTAAAGAACAATTTTGAAATGGGAGATTATCACGATATTATAGCTTCCAAGGCTAGGCTAAAACAAGAAGTGGAAGAATTAAAAAGTAGGTTGGATGAATATGATGAGAAATACGGTATTAAAGATCCTGGTGATGATCCATTACATATACTTACTTCAAAGATCGGAGAAGCCGAGAGAAAGATTGAGAAAATAGAATCAGATTGTGATTATCTAAAAAAAGTATTGTATTATTATTATTATTATTTTTATTTATTCTTGATATCACATGAAAGAAATAACATTTGTCTTTTTTATCATATCATTATGTTATAGAATGAAAAGCAGTTATTACAAGAACTTGAAGTTTTAGGTGATCACTGGGCACGTCAAGACCAAGAAAATACTGTCAAAGTTTTTGAAATTATAGCACATGATGAAAGGTTGCAAAATGCGCGAGAATCTGTATGTAATTATATATAGAAATATAATTGTTTATAATTATGTCGATATTAAATTTTACATAAATACCTAACAGGAAGCAAAAGTGAAACAAAAATTGAACTCCATATGGATGGAAAATGTTTCTTTGAAAAAACAAAAGAATCATTTATCTACAGTTATTCAAAATCAAACGGATCTCTTACGTCAAAAAGGTTATCTGGAAGAGAATCTCAAATCACAACTGGTTTGGAAATTATTTATTAACAAATTATTTCATTTTTAAAGTGATTTTGATTTGATTCAAATTTTCAAATTGACAGGACAATGCCAACAAAGAACTAGGATGTTCCAAACAAGTTGTAGATGTACATAAACTTAAATTGCATGAATTTACACAACAGAACAAAGATTTGAAAGAAAAGATTGAAAGAAACATGACTACACATAACGAGGTGTGATATTATTGAATTATTTAATTGTTTAATATTTAGCGCAAAAAAAATCAATTTAGCTTACATTTGGCCCAACAAATTTTTAGTTGAAAAAACAACTCGAAGAAAGCATAAAATCATGTGAAAAAGAAGCCCACAAGTCAAGAAGACTGGCTGAAGAAGTTGAAATGTATAAAAGACAAGCTGAAGATCATCGAAGGACACAAGTATCAGACACGACTGAGCAACAACTAATTCAGAATTATGAGGTAAATTTTTATTTCGCGTTTTTTTTTTTCAAATTTTATTAAACATTTATAATTAATTTACTTAAATTTATGTTTAATAATCAACAAGAAACTACTTAAATGTTCGTCTTGTGCTATTCGATTCAAATCACATTGCTTATTGAAATGTATGCATACATTTTGTAAGGAATGTCTTGAAGCACAAGAAAAAGCACGTAACCGTAAATGTGCAAAATGTGGACTTCCTTTTAGTAGTACCGATATCAAACAATTATTTCATTAGTGTTTAAATTGATGTTACCAATTCGAATTTGTCTCTGAAAACAATAGATTCTGAATACTTAATTATTAATTTGATTATAATTATAAGGCTATATAATTTATTTATGGTCTACCATATTTTCTTGAATTGAGTATTGCTTTTTGAGTAAAATTCTTTTTTTTTTTTTTTATTTTCTTTTTACTTTGTACAGATTTACTCTTTAACAACATTTGTTTATTATTCAATAAATCATCCAGAATTTTCTGCCTAGAGATAAATTATCAATAAATTATCGTTACGTTGATTACGCAGCTCCGAAAAATACCGAATTTCTCATCACGTGATTATTGATACGTGAGAAGAACTAATAAGTAGAATGCGGATGTTTTTCAATAATTTTTTCATTCAAAAATGGATTCAGAAATTAAAGACCTAGATCTTTATGAACTCCTTGAAATTAATTACAATAGTACAAGAGAAGAAATTGATAAGGCATATCGTCGTAACGCTTTTAAATATCATCCTGATAAAAATATAAATAATGTTGAAGCAGGTTTATATTTGACCTTTTCTTTTTTTTTAAAAAAAAAAATAAAAAAGTTCTATAACCTAAAAATTATTATTGAATAGCAACCAAATTATTTCATCAAATATCGATTGCTTACGAAACTTTAACTGATCCACGAAAGAAGTTGGAATATGATAATATTTATAAAGCAAAGATTGAGAGTAAGAAGAGATTTGAAAAGTTGGATGCTAAACGGAAGGTTATGAAAGAAGGTGAATCTTTGGTCTCTAATGTGATTAGTTAAAATTATTTCAATTATTAACTGCCGCATAAATTTATTTTCTTTTCTTACAGAACTTGAGGAAAGAGAGAAAGCTGCAAAACAGTCGAAGAAAACAACAATTTTTACACAGGAATCTCGAGAGGCAAAGATTGAACGGATTAAAGAGGAAACAGCTCGAAGAAGGCGGGAAAAAGAAGAAAAGTTACGACTTTCCGATCAAAGGTCGAAAGCATCAACAACGCACAGACCTAACTCAACACCAAGACCTTCATCAGTAAGATTTTGATTTTATTAAAAATTTTCGCTTTTTTTGATGATCTATTAAAATTTTACTATTTCTTATAGAAGCAAGCATTTGGATATAAAGATTTTGAATCAATTGTTTTGAATAAAATGATTGAACAAGAAAGATTAGACAAAGAAAAATGGGGGGAGAAAAGTGAATCAAGTATGGAAGCATAGTATTTTCATTGCAGAATATAACTTTACAGATCACGAATCAAACCAAAGAGAAAAAGGTTGGAAAAATATATATATATATAACCTTATTTGTCCTTTATATTCTGGCTTTTTTGATGATCTTTATTTTCAACTGTTTTTATCCAGATCTTGCTTTTCGTTTGAGGCGTAATTACCAGTATAGCTACGACCTCTAAAACCACTTGCATGACTTTTTTCACGATATAACCTTGGATTCCCGATTGCGGATTCAACTACCGAACAAAGTCGTAACCAGGGTGCATCATACGCTTTCAAATTAGCAAAGAATAAATAATCATGTCCTAATTTCGATTCAAACAAGATCATGGTTATTCATTAATCACTCTCAAACAATTATAGATAACAATACTTAACTTTTTCTCCCTACGATAGGTAAAGCAAATCTTGCTGATTCACGAATCCTTCTTCTAATACGAGCTCTTACTACTGCTAGTTTAGATACATTCTTTTTGGATACCACAATTTGCAATCGAAAATTTTCAATTGGCTCTTGAGTTTTCTTTGCTTCAATCAAATTCACAAATTCGATAGTCAATTTATAGGTTTTTAAAAAGAAATATAAATAAAAATTTACTGACTAAAAAATTTGTCATTTTCACGCCATCTCCGTACAACCAAACTAAAATAATCAGTGGAAACTGTTCCAGAGATATTTTTTTTATCGGTGAACATTTTTTGGATCGTGTCTGTATCGATCGAATGTGTCTTTAAAAGTTTTTAAAAAAAAATTTGTTTTAAATTAAAATCATTTAAGCAATTGAAATTACGTGTTATTTAACGTACATATTTTTTTGGCAACAAAGGAGGCAGTTTCGGATCTCTTTCTAAGATTATTAAAAACGTATTTAATTGCTTGTTTTTGAAAAAATAATTTTTTTTTTTTTTTACCAGTTTTTTTCTTATTTTTCTTCTTTTTTGGTTTGCTTGTCTCATTTTCTCGAGATTCATTAAGAGATGTAAATCGGCTTATTCGATTTGCATGAAATATATTGAATGGTATTCGTTTTAGCATTTTTGTTCTAAACATTCTTATTGAAAAAAATTGAACCGCTTAAATTGAAAGAACGTCGAATTCTGATTGATTGTTTATCTTTTAAAATTAGTCAATTTTATCACTTTGTTTTGATTTCTCTGTCATGATTCAAATCGTAAATCAAATTTTTGCTTTATAAACCGAACTCTATAAGTAAATAAATTCGGAATATCAAATCACGTGATTTCTCTTATGATACTAATTTTTTATTATTGTAAAAATGAATGTTCGAAAAAAAAAAAAGAAAAATAATAAGTTTAAAAATAGCATTACTAATAATATTAATAAAACGTTTAAAATAAAATTATATTATTTTTATTAGTTATATGCTATCCATTAAGTGTTTAATCTATCAATCACATAATCAGTACTATATGATCAGTTTATTTGATCATTCAATAATTAACTTTTTAAATAAAAGCACATTTTTTTTTGTAAAATAATATACTGATAAAATATTGAAAACTTATTAATAACGTTTTTTATTAAATTTAATTAGACTTTTAAAGATTCTGATAATAATCAAATAATTCTGAAGAATAACAATTGAAAGATAAAGAAGAATAGGAAGGTTTGCTAGGAAAATGATTGGAAATTTTTTAACAAAATTTTATTTTTTATTGTTTTTTAGTTTTTATTGCTTTTTAGTTTTTGATATTATTAGATTAAAATGTAATAAGATCTTAATTTTAGTCAAAAAATTTCCCAAGCCCCATTTTTCTAGCAAACTTCCTAAATGATTTTTTTAAATTAAGTTTTTATTAGTTTTTTATTATTTAAAACTATGTAATTATAATAGTATTATTAAATTTTAAGAGTAGTGACTAATAGGTCAGGTTAGTATAAGTTATCTGATTAACTTAATTTAATATTTTTTTAAGTCAAATTAGGTAATCTGTTCTAATTTTATCTGACCTATTTAATTTAAAAATATTTGGATTAATTCAGATTACTTTGAGTAAACTAAATAATGTATTAGATTGTTTAATAAAGATAATGATAAAATATTCTTCTTGAATAATAACAAATTATTTTAATTGAACAATAATAAATTATTCTTAAATAATAATAAATCTTTTTAATTGAATAATAATAAATTATTCTAATTAATCAATGACAAATTATTTTTATTAAATAATAATTAATTATTCTAATTGAATAAATATTAATTGTTTAATTAGAATAATAATAATAATTATCCCAATAAAAAATTTGATATAAAAATTCCATAAAAATATTAAGTTTTATAACGTATAATTTTTATGGAATTTCAGTATAATGTATATGTTTTTTCCTTAAGTAAAAACCATAAACTTAATACGGAAAAGTGGGAAAAAACGTATACAAAAAATAAGAAAAAACGTATATTTTATAATACTTTAAAGAATGCAAAAATTACGGATAAAACGTATATTTTATAATGCTTTAAAGAATGCAAAAATCACGGATAAAACATATATTTTATAATGTTTTAACGGATACAAAAATCATAGATAAATGTATATTTTATAATGTTTTAACAGATGCAAATAACCATAAACTTAATAGGGAAAAGTGGAAAAAAAATATACAAAAAATAAGAAAAAACGTATATTTTATAATACTTTAACAGATGCAAAGATCACGGATAAAACGTATATTTTATATTTATAATACTTTAACAGATACAAAAATCACGGATAAACATATATTTTATAATGCTTTAAAAGATGCTAAATCATAGATAAAACATATATTTTATATACTTTAATTAAGCAATTTAGATTTTATTAATATAATAAAAATTTAAAAATTAAAAAAAAAATAGAAATTAAAAAAAATTTAAAAAATTAATATTTTTTAAATTTTTCCCTTTTTGTACTTTTTGTTCTTTTCTATAATATTTCTTTTAATATAAATTAATCAAAATAAATATGTATATTATTCCTTAGTTTACATACCTAAAACTTATTATATCATCTGTCACTATCATGATAGTCACTTGAAAAGATATATTTCTGAAAATACTATTTTGAATGAACATGTAAGAAGAAAAGAAATTTTCTAATCTATTGATAGAAAGAAATTTCAGATCTAGCAATATAAACATACATATTACAAGAAGAGGTTAAAATTAATCATCTTCATCTAGAGTTTTTCTTTCAATCAACTTCACACTCAGAAAAGGATAAGTTAGCATTAGTATTATATTATCATGATATAAATTTTATGGCTAGCTATGAAAATTATGCATAATATAAAGTAACTATAGCAAAAATACTATATCAACTTGTATTTCTAATGTTGGATAAAAAATGGTTTTGCCAATTTTTCATCACATATTGAATCAAAAATCTGAAGCATTAAATGGGTCAATTCCTTCTCAATTGTCATGAAAGCTTATTATATTAATGTGACGTAGTGCAAGTGCATCTGAAATTTTTAACAGAATTAGTTTAGGCAATCTTGCTGAAGCATATTTTGATTCTATGTGAAAAATGTAAGGAAAGAGATAAACTTAGCTATTAAGGCACTTCGCAATATCTTCTAACTGAATATTAATATTATTTATCTTAATAATATTTAGCTAAAAGTGTGATACATGAATTATTCATAATATATTTTTTTGCAAAATAAATAGCTATATAATCTATATGGATGATTGCTTGTAAAAAATTGGCTAAAGATGCTGTGTATAATCTATATATTCTGGGTTA